GAAATAAGGTGGCCTGGCAGGGCAGACATCTGTTTTCTTTTGCCAGCTGCTTTGTGATGAGTGTTATCTGTAGGGTTTTCTTTGTGGCATTCTGTTCTTGTTTTATTTTTGGACAGGATGAGATTTAATGTTTAGGCAGTAAAGAAGTGAGAAGTTTCATGAAAGAATTGTCTGTCCCTGTACATTAGATTTGTTTTGATATAGAATATTGTTTCACCAGCAAAGGTGAAGTTCCTTAATATAGCTGTTGTTTTTCCTTCAACCCATGTGGTGGTAATAGTCACCTCTGAAAGAAGTGACTGAGACATCAATTCTTTTGATTGCATTGAAACCTTTAACAAAGGGACTTGGGGATCTCGCTCATTCATCTACAAGAGCTAACATAACCTAGTTGGCTTTTTTTTTCCTTGAGGTACTATATGAGACTCATTTGGAATAGTTGCATTGTGTGGTGATCTGTTACATATAGTACTGTTACTTGCTAAAATAAGCTTATAAAGCGGCCACTCTGTACAGAGGTATTACCTCATTTTGTCTAACATCAGAAGCTGAGCTTATTAGCACTACCTCTTACTTGTTGACTACATGTCTAAACCAGTAAAACAGTACCTATATTGCATGTAAGTGATGTGCTCTCCAATTTTATAGCACTGCGTCAATTGTTCAGTGTACGTCAGCTGTTAGATTACATTAATTCACATTTTTAAAATAATTAGTCAGTTTGCTTTAGCATTTCGCTGTCAGGGAAATAGCATGCTGGGACATTGGCAGTGCCTCTTGAGCTCCATTAAAAGTTGTGCTGGTTGGTAGATAGTGAACGTTCATGATCATAGTTGACAATTCTTCAGTCACGTAGAAAGTACATGTGTTTTAGATCTACCCGATTCTTGACATCTCAGAAATGCTTTAGAGAATTTTAAAATTACATTATCAAGTGATAACAAAAAACTGCAGAAATAAACATATTGTTTATCCTAGTTTTAATAAGCAAAATTAGTTTTTAATCTTTTAAAATTGTTCTACTTGTTATGTTGCTGTTCTTTTTTAGTTTACCAAACTCATCCTTGGTCGTTAATTGTGTTGAGTGTGTTGAGGCAATAGAATTGCATTATTGCATGCTTTTCTTTTGACCTATGCCACTTTTGGCTTCAGATCTGGAAGGTTCACTGTAGGAATCCAGTCGTGGGTTTTTTGTTTTTTTCTTCTTCCTTCCACCCTGTTGAAAGGAAGGGAGGTTTCATAGATAAATAGTGAGAATAAGTTTAAATTATTGTCGGGGTTGGTTTCATATATTACTGAATAAGAATTTTGGATAACATAGGAAATGTTTGCAAGGTATTTTGCTGCCCTCTCTGAGTAGAAGATCTAAATTGTAAGCAAATTTCGTGACTTGTTCATGGCTTGTATTTGCCTAGTTAGAAATTAAATCAGAATTTTTCTGGATTTGCTGAGTAAATGGAAAATGAAAACTCATGCAAAAATGTTAAATGCTGAATCACTTGCTGTTTAATTATGATAATTCTTTTATTCAGGTTGTAGGTAGATAAAAATGGTTATCTTGTAGGTCTTTTCTGTCTTTTATCTGGATCTTGGTAGGCAGCCAGTATGGTTTGGTATGTGTCCTTTGCTGACTTAAGTATTTTTTTTGCATCAGATAAATGTTAAAGCATTCAAAGGCTTAAGTACGTTTTGTTTTGATATGTGAACACTGTGTGTATTTATAGCTCTCTGAAGAGGACAAAAGCCCAGGTAAGCCTTATGAATGTGTTCACATGTATTAGGAGAACAAGTCAGTCTCAACACAATTTAATTTTGAAGTGTATCTTACACTTAAGCTAAAATTGCATACAAATACACGAAGTATAGAGGCGGTGTACTTTATGCACAGTTTGTACAGTTGGTCTCTTTCTGTACGTGTATGTGTGCATACTTACATATATGCACACACCCCTCTCAAGTAGTCAGAAAAGCTTTAAATGAAGATAACAAAGTCCACCTTACTGGGTCAGAGCAAGTGTCCATTTAACTTAAAGACTCATACAGGTCAAATGTCCAGAATACTTTTCCCTGCTGCTCTATCCTTCTCTGGGCATTTTTGGTTCTACAACTTCTTGTACTTTGTCTCAAATTCGAAGTGCCTTTCCACATATATGTATACCTACAGTTGTCTTTTCCAACATGTGGAGTTCTACTTGTTTAGTTATTTGTTGTGTGGAAGCTGTCTGGTACATTTGATGATCGTGTTGCATCTCTGAACCTTTATAGTTCTGCTGGTTTTCCCACCTTCTGAATTAGGAGCACAGACATAGATTAACCATGGATTTATGAAGATAAAATTATTTTCTGTACTGTTGCATAGTCTTAACTGAATGCATATAGTTAATGTTTTTGAACAGAACACTCAAATGGATGTGTGCATAGAACTTTCTTTCACAATTCTCACTCTTTAATCATAGCCAAGCATTTTATGTGAATTTAGCAGATATCTCCCCTGCATTGTGTCAGCTACGTCACAGTTATTCTGTTTACTAGTTTTATTTCCTGATCACTTGGAATTAAAAGATACATCTGTAATTCTTCACAACCAGTCATCCTTGCTATCCTAAGAACCCTAATATTAAGGAGCTTAGACTGGGGTGGTGCCTCACTGTTTCTTTTCCTGGTTACTTACAGAAATACAAAATGATGCAGCTCTTGGTATGGCTTATCACCTTGCTCTTATGTGAGGTTGTGTCAAGGTTATTTTTCTGTTAAAAAATAAAAAAGAAAATTTTAAGTATCTTAAGCAGTTGCTTGATATGTTTCTAAGCATGATCAATTGTTGATACCTTCTAGCTGCATAATATGACAAGTCTGACTTAGTACTATCTGCATTCTCGTTTTGGGATTGACAGTGTGTGTGTTGCTTCCTAGATAGACAGTGCTAATTTAGAATGAATGAGTTAACAAAATGAGTGAAGCTGCTTTAGAACGTGTAAATGCTGATTCCTGTTCTGAATAGTTTTTTTTTAGATGGGAAAATGTGTCCACTTGTCCTTTATGAAATTAGAGCCTAAGATGGCTCAGCTGAAGGTAGCCAAGATGAAAACCCCATTTTTCTCTGATGATATTTATCTGTGGAAAGAGTACGGAGGAGAACTAGTTTTGTACAAAACACAGCAGGTAGGAAGGTAGGAATGTTATGCCAAAAATATTTTCATAGTATTTGAACGTTTCTGTGGTCTGCATTGTATTCTCTTGATGTTTGATCAGAGGCAACCCTCTACTGGTACAAAAAAATGCGTTAGTCAATTAATGTAGTTTTTGGTAGAAGTGAGAGGTTAAAAATCAAGCATTTAACAAGGTGACTTGCAGCATTAATTTCTTTCTAACTGCCATTACAATTTTGTTGCATGGGAGTGCAGGAGCAGAACTATCTTGCAGCTTCTCAGGGTGTTGGGTAACAAGGTCAGTAAAAAAAGAGTAATTTTTTCCTGTACATAACTGGGACTTAATTGCTTGTTGTAACAAGCTGTCAACGTGTTAGTGGCTTTTTTACATATTATTATATTTAAGGAGGATCATTCTTCTGAGATAAGATGGACCTGAGTAGTAACAGCATGTGGGCTGGGCTTTCCATTTCTGCAAGTATATTCCAAGCATGAATAGAAGTGAAATAGCTAAAGTTCCATTCATTTTCATGCTAGTTTTACAAAGCTGTAAGCCTGTGATGTAGAATGACCAATGACCTTCCTAAATAGAATTGGCCAGTAGCAGTCTGTAGATACCGTATGCCATAGATTAAGGTGTCTAAATTTAGGTCTTTTTTTTTTTTTTTTGCTGCATAGTTAAAAAACTGGCTGTGCTTTATATTTGTTGAAAAATCTTCAGTTTGCATCTTAAGCAGAGCAGAAAATGTCTGTGTGCTTAATATATGTATTTTTCTTTATAAATGTGATATTTGGGTGTTTTTTAAATTGAGAATTAAAGTAGTGTGTGATAACTGTGTTTTTCAGTGATTTGCTGACAGAAACATAATGGTTGCATCTTTAAGGGCATGCCTAGTTCTTCTTGTAATATTGAGCTCCCTTGTTTTAGTTGACTAGAAACATGCATGTTATGGTTAAAAAAAGCAACAGCAAAAAAAAAACCACAAAAAAAAAAAAAACATTACGTGAATATTTAAAAAAAAAATAAAAATAAAAAATGCAGATTGGTACAGCCTGTGAACTTCCTACTCTTAGGAAATTATTTCTGTTTCCTCTGCCTGTGTATCTGCTTCTGTTCTTCCTCTCTGCATCTTGCACCCTTGTGCTTTCCTTTGCTAGGACTTTCAGGAGCTGGAATCCACGCCAACCCCCTGCACTGCTTCCCTGGTGCCCACTCCCAACATTTCTTATCACTGCCCGATTTCCCCCTGAAAGGTGTTTTTATCTGGATGATAGTTCAAATGTAAATATGTGTAGTATGCAAGTGGAAAAGGATACATAGCGTGCACTTTGACACATCTGTAAAATTTGGATAAGTACTGGTTGCCTAGCTTATATTAAAGTTTGTTTTTTATTTTTTTATGGGGATTTGTGTAATTGCTATTTCACTATTCTTTTATTCACTACATCAGATATGAAGTACCATATGCAAAGAGCAAATGTAACTCCGTATCCTCAGCTCCTAAGATTGTATCAGCGAGTAAATTATCAGTAGCTTTCTGTTCTTAGCTTTTGAAAGCTGTCTCTCAGAATGCTAAATTGGTTAGCAAGAAATTGGCTATATAGTTCTTTTTTTTTTTTTTTTTTTTTTTTTTTTTTAACAATGAACATACCTTTTACCTAGCTTTGAAAAATAGCATGCAGAGTTCAGAATTCTATGGAGGTGCAAATGTTGCAGTTTTATTCTCACTGTTGCAAAGACTGTTATTTCATCTCTTTTTTTTTTTTTTTTTTTCCCCCCTCTAACAGTTATTTGATATTTCTGGTTTTCACTTTGCAGCTCAGTCTTTTTCCTTTTTTTCATGATTGTAGACAGTTGCAAGAGCAACAAAGGCAGAAGGAGCTGGAACGGGAGAGGCTGGATCGTGAACGAATGGAACGGGAGAGGCTGGAGAGAGAGAGGCTAGAAAGGGAAAGACTTGAAAGAGAGCGCCTAGAGCAGGAACAACTGGAGAGAGAACGACAAGAAAGGGAACGACAAGAGCGCCTAGAAAGGGAGAGACAGGAAAAGGAGAGGCAGGACCGAGAAAGACTTGAACGACTTGAACGGGAAAGGCAAGAAAGAGAACGACAAGAACAGTTGGAAAGGGAACAATTGGAGTGGGAAAGAGAGAGAAGAATTTCAAATGCTGGTAAGAAATTCAAAACTGAGCGTGTTTGAGTACCGTATTCCTTATGTGTTTGGGTGATGGAGTGAGAGACAACAAAGGGCAGTGAATATAGCTGTTCAAGAGTAGTCAGTGCTTGACTTGCAGTTGCTGAAATTGCTTCATTTCTTATGGGAAGAAGTCCAAGATCTTTGACTTGCCTGCCATAATTGTCCATTAATCCTGAAATAAAATATTTAGATTGTTTGTTCACTCCATTGCTTTAATTCTTGGTTGCTTGAAGAACTTGAATCATACTGGGCATCTCCAGCATTGGTTAAAGTATGATGAGTTAAGATTTCTAAGTATTTTGTTGTTGTTTGCTCTATTAAACAAGGTGTGTTCTCATCGCATAATATGACGAGAAAAGATTAGGTTGAGTGTGTTCATGTAAGGGTATGTACCTACGCAAGGTGAATTAATAGTGTGAGAAATGCCTTCAAGTATGAATTCTTGCTTCATTATGATTGTAGTAAATTTCAGTGAGATGTATTTGTAGATAATGTACTGCCTGCGGAAATGCATCAAGCCACAATTGGAAGCTTTCTTACATTGGTAATACAATGGAACGTTAGTGAAGCACTTCTTGGTTGTTCTGTAGCTAACTCAATTTTACATAAGTGATCAGGTCAAGGTAAAATTCAATATATTATGTAAAAAGCTAGCCGTTTTAGAAAAGGGATTTTATTGGTAGCTTTATTCCAACTACTTTGATGTTTGTGATGGAGTGTTCTGAAGGGAAGAGAAAGGTAATATTTACATGCTGCCTATGGTATGAGTTTGTATTAGCGGAATTGTTTAAAAAAGAAAAAAGTTAAGATCACTACACTTGCTTGCAATTTGCAACAAAACAAGATGATGAAAGCTTATAAGACTTGATTAATCAACCCTGTGTCTAATCCATCTCACAGGTGGGATTTGAGAAAACTTATCCTAGAACACGCTTGTAAATTCAATGTTGGCACAAAAATAGTTGGTAAAATTTAAAGGAAGCTGTTTATGAGATATAAAACTTTCCTAACAGTATTTTCACTTGTGCCTAATCCTCTGGTACTAACTGTAGTCTACATTTATACATTTTGTTTGAATGCTGGTTTTGTTGCTTCATTAGCTCCCTTTTTCTCTTTCTCCTTTTTTTATCCTGCCTTTGCTGCTGCTTTCCATCTTCTGTCCAGCTCCATCTTTCGACAACTCCCCGTATAGCACTCCACTTCCTGAATACTCCAGTTGCCAGCCTCCTTCAGCACCTCCTCCATCATATGCAAAAGCAGTCTCAGCACCAATGTCAGAGGCCACACCGGAGTATGCTGTAGTGACTTCTGCACCACCGACTTCCACTCCCCCTACACCGCCTCTAAGGCACTCTGCATCACGTTTTGCTACATCTTTAGGCTCAGCTTTCCACCCAGTTCTTCCCCATTACGCTACGGTTCCTCGTCCACTGAACAAAAGTTCTCGGCCCCCTTCTCCAGTGAATGCCCCGGCGACGTTACCTCCAAACCCAAAGCCAGTTGCCTGGTCTGCGCCCAGTTTTGCCCCGCTTCCCCCATCACCTCCAGTAATGATAAGCAGTCCGCCAGGCAAAGCCACCGGTCCGAGACCAGTCCTCCCAGTGTCGGCTTCTAATCCAGTGGCTCAGATGCCCGCATCTCCCACAGCTCCTAATGGGCTTTCTGAGAATGTGACTTATGCGATTCCTTCACCTTCTACCTCAGGTCCAACTCCACCTCCGCCGCCTCCTCCCCCACCACTGCCTTCCTTTCCGCCTCTGTCACTCTCTGGACCTCAAGCTTCTCCTTCTCCAAACTCCCCTAATGCCTCGACTCCCTCATCCAAGCCTAGTGTTCTCCCTTCTCCCTCTGCAGCTACCCCTGCCTCTGTTGAGAACTCTCTAAACTCTGTGCTGGGAGACTCCTCTGCTTCTGAGCCAGTCTTGCAGGCAGCCTCTCAGCCGATTGAACCTACGACCCAGCAGGGTAAGGCTTTCTGTTATTGCTACTAATTCACTAATGAGGATTGCAGTCCAAACCAATTTGTATCAAAGCCCTTAACTGCTCTGAAGAATTAATGAAATGCTTCAAAAGTTGCAGTGATCTTAATACCACAAGGAAATACCATTTGGAAACTGGTAAGGGAGAAGAGCCGGCAAACTGTGATCTGTCATAAGTAAAATTTGGGTTTCTTAAGCTCTCATCGGTTGAGAACAGAGCTTGTTGAATACTTGATTGGTAAATCTTGCACTTTCAGGTTATTGAGATCGTTGTATTAATAGGCAGCATCATTAGTTTCCTAATGACAGTTGAAGCAGAGTGTGTATGTGATTTTTGGACATGTGAATGACATTAAGTGGGAAATAATTTAAACCACTTTGGTACTTGTAATGTAGCTTAAATTTGAGAAAGTAGTGTGTAACAACTGCAGTTCTCTTTTTCTTCTATTTTGATGTATGTGCTGTGTGCACACTTAAGGTCTTCTTATGGTGTTCTAACAGCTTAGCAGATGACAGTCTTAAAAGACATTCTACCAATACATTTGATTTACATGGAGTAAATGTCTGTGTTAAGCTAAATCCTGTTTTATACTAATTTAGCAGATTTAGGTCTTACATACATAAATCTGCAGATAGGCTGAGGGTTTGGATAGAGGGAATCCAGGGGAATAAGTAGCTTCATCACACACAGACCATGCAGAATTGATCCTGTTGATGCACTGTCTTGCATTAAGTTGTGAGCTGCTCTGTGATTGAGTTGGCAGTAGGGTGAGTGGCCTTAGTTTTATTATGGAATGAAAGCAGGTACTTGGATGGTGAGTGACTGCTAAAGAGTTTAAAATGTGTTTGAATGTACACAAGAGTTGTTAGCATATTAGGAAGCCAGGGAGTCTTGCATGTGCAATTCCTGATTTGAGACTGCAGTTCTGTAGTTGAGTGAGGGAGCAGAAAGAATGTGTGGGGCTGTTTTCTTAATCATTGGTTCTGAAAGTGTTCCTATAATATAAGTAGTTCAACAGTAATCAGAATACTCTTTATTCAAAGTATATTTTGTATTGCATATCAGTGTGAATTTAAAAGATTAAAGGACTCATAAATAAAAAATGGAGGAGCTTGTCCTTGTCAGCTTAAAATGCCAGTCTTCTAACTCACTAATTAGTGTTTGTGTTTAATTATTGAAGTTCATTTTTGAGGTACTTTTTAGAGGAAAGACTTTCGTGCAGGTTTAGAAACTGGTGTTGGAACTCGCACTTTCCCAGGGTTCACATGCTTGGTGTGTTAAATGATGTTGATAAAATGAGAAGTCATTTTCTGTTCAGCCCTGTTTTGAGAAATAATGTGTTTCTTCTGTGGTATTGTATTCTTACTTCACTTGACCATAAAAGCTTTGCCTGTTTCCCTTCAGAAGGTTCTTGGTTGCAGCACAAAACCTGACTGGAAGGTTATTGTTTTTAAATGGCTCTGAAATTGTCTTGCCTCTTACAGCGTGCTGTGTAATAATTCCAGTGCATTAGTAAGAATGGTCTCCCCTGCTGAAACTTGCAGTGTTTTCTTGCCTATTAAAAAAAAAGATACTGGTATTAACCTCTCGTATACAAAGAACCTGTATGGCAAATGAATTATCTTCAATATCCTCACTGTAGGCTGTTTTTTTTTTTTCTCTTTGGCACTAGGTGTTGTCCAAGGACCACCTGCACCTCCTCCCCCACCCCCGTTGCCCCCAGGCCCAGCCCAGGCCTCAGTAGCAGCCCCACCACCTCCTGGCCCACCGCCACCACCGCCACCTCTCCCTTCATCAGGGCCTCCACCACCACCACCACCTCCTCCGCTTCCCAGCCAAGCTCCCACAGTTCCCCTCCCTCCTCCTGCTCCCCCTCTTCCTGCTTCGGGGTTTTCAGCTGGATTTGTGTCTGAAGAAAATCGCCCTCTGACTGGACTAGCAGCTGCACTTGCTGGAGCCAAGCTTAGGAAAGTATCACGGGTAAAAGCAATTATTTTGTTTCTTTTTCTAACTTGTATTTGTAAGTTCCTGAACTGTTCCTGAACTGGCTGTAGTTTTTGTTTCAGATTAATAGTAGTGTAAAATAGATAGGCTTAATTCATTATTTAAAAAGCATTACAGGATGTACTACTTCATATTCCTTATGCAAGGAATTTTTTCTAGTATGCTTTGCTTATTTCAGCTTATATCGTTGTCAGCTATAACTTCATTTGCACATATTCTGTGTTTTGCAAAGGGTGAAGACTCCTCCAGTTCAAGTGGAGGAGGAGGCTCTGCTTCATCTAAAACAGACAGTGGCCGTGGAAATGGGCCGCTTCCCTTGGGAGGCAGTGGCTTAATGGAAGAAATGAGTGCCCTGCTGGCCAGGAGGCAAGTAACAGTTTCTGTGCTGGAGCTGTGTAGTCATCTTAGAAGTAGGATTTTGGTGTCTGTTTTCAGCCAGCGTAAAGATCAAACAGACATCTGCATGCTCATGTGGTTGTTTTGTGAAGTTGAGAACGTTTTGTCAATAGCTCTTTTTACTCAAGTGCAGGTGAGTACTTTTCTTCTCTGTAAGTCTTTGTGCAGCAATATGGGCTACACACTTCAAAAGGATAAAGAATTGCAAAATCACTTTGGCAAGAGGGCTTTGTCCCTGAGAACATTTTGAAAGTTGTTTAACATTAATATTAAATTATAAACAGCTTGGTATCTAGATATCTTTAATTACAGTGAACAGCACCCTTTCATCTTAAAGCCATGATGATCTTGGTAACTTTTTTCTCTGCTTATAGGAGAAGAATTGCTGAAAAGGGATCAACAGAGCCAGAGCAGAAAGAAGATAAAACTGTGAGTTGAGAAATTGTATCTACTTCACGTTACTTGATATTTGAAAAAGATCCTAATGCACATAAGATGACCCATATTTTACCATATTAATATACATTGTCTGTTTTGTGAATTGTGTGCTTGTATGTAACATTACTGAGCAGCACCATTAAATCTATGAAAATTGTTTTAAATATTGGACAGTTGAGATTCATTTGCTGAATTCACAAGAGTCAAAAGTATTTTTTTTCTCTCTGCCACTCACTCCTGCTTCCCTTATTCATCCTTTTCTCTTTCTATTTGATCAGGAAGAATCAGAATCTTCAACCTCTAAGGCTTCTTCAACAAGTACACCTGGTAAGTAGCATAGATTTGTGAACTCTGAGACTCTTAATACTAACTTAAAGATAAATCTCAATCAACTGCATTGCACTTTTGGAGTGTGGTACTTACCTCACAACCACTAACTGGCATTTTACTGTAGAATGACATCTACTGAAAGCACTGTGTTTAATATAGCAGCTTCCTGTGTCTAACCTGTGAGGCTGCTAAGTGGAAACAGCAGTGCATGTGAAAGCAAGCTCTTTCCAGTCATGTAAAAACACAGTGGGTTGCTATTTTGTTTCTATGTCTCACTTGAATGAAAACTTTTACAATCATATGTAACAGTTACTGATTACAGGTAGTTCAGTAAAGGTTCAGTCCTGTAAGCCTATTCTAGATTTAGAAGCCTGGTGTAGAAATTCTTTAAGCACAGTTCTTCTGTTGATACATGACTGCGGCAGAGTTAGGAAATGTGTAGTTCATGTTTATGCTGCAGTCTTTAAGGAAAACTTGTATGTCAAGTGTTTTGTAGTCAGTCAATATGTATTATCAGAATGAATACTGTAAATACTTGGATGTCACTCAGGTCTTCGTAATGCAGGGTTTTTTTTCCTGTCCTTCAGTAGTACCTTCTTAAACATTCACTTCCCTGGCCACCACCTACTGTGCATACAAAGAAGGAGGAATGTGCCATACACCAACATTCAGTATGCTTCAACTTCTTATTGATTGCTTGCCCATGTGTATATTCCTTCAGTAGATAATTAAGCCACTCAGAGTTTTGCAAGCCTTAATGTTGAAAATCATTGCTGTAGGGTGAACAAGTTCCAGGTAATCACTGTCTTTGAGATAAAAGGAAGAGACAGGAGCTAAGTATGCTTTAATAGAAATAATGAGAAAACTGTTACTATTGTGATACAGCAGGCCTTCTAAAGAAGTGAGGTTGTGAGGCAATAAATGACTTTCAAAAGAAAAGATGGAAAACTTGATTTCTTTCTTATCTTTGGAATTTGCTCTATTGAGGCAGAGATGTTAACCTTGGGAAAATTGACTGATTTTCAAATACTGTTTCTAATAATACAGACCAAAAAGGGGAAATCAGAAACATTGGAAGTGGCTTCTTTGATTGTTGCCTCCTGACCAGCAGGGCATTCATTGTTTGCCCCTCCAAACTTTTTGGAAATATCAGATGCATCCAGACCTTTGGCTGTTTCGTCACACAGGAAGGATTCTACTTCATTTCTTGATGATATAAAATATTCTGACAATGGCATGCATCATCATTGAACATGTTTAAGAGAATCAAAAATTCAAAAACATAATTGCAACAATGTACTATGGGGCAAGATAGTACAAATGATGTTTGAAGAAAGTTTTGTTAATAGACAAGAATGAAATGCAGAAACTTCCAGTGAGATGTTTAGAAATGAGTATCCTAAATTTTTAGGAAGAAGTAGATCTGCCTTTTAGAACAATAGGTTCGTTGCTACTATCATGAATTTAAATGCAAGGATATTGCCATGTCTGTCCCCATTCCCTTACATCACAGAATTTGTCATGGTACCAAAGTAGTCTACTCTTGGGAGAGGAGCCTTTGGTGAAAGGGTTTTGCTGCAGAAGTGGGGATTGGTGAGGGAATAAGAAAGTGGTAGTGGCTAGCATGATGGTTAAAGTTGACCTTTCAGAGAAGCCTGTTGTCTGAAGTGTAGGAATGGAAAAACCTAGTCACATTGTTGCCACAAGGTAGAAAAGTATTTAAGAGCTTTTTTATGTAAGGAAGAAGGGTGTTTTCCTTGCTTGTTTGACTTCCAGAAACTTGAGGACAGATAGAAATATCAGGGCTGCCAAGTGGAGGAATTGAGTGAAACTGACATATAGAAATACCACCGTGAAGATGAATCCTTTCTCTGCCCTTTTTGGTGGAGTTATAGAGCGGTGGTCATCTTTGAATTTTGTATCTTTGAGTGAGGAATGTTATGAACTGTGGTGATTTTAGATGCTCTATGTAGTCTTTCTTTATTGATAACCTTCTAGTCATTGTATCAACTATATGCTGAGCAGTCTGAACAGTAGATCTGTCACGACAGTGCTTCTAGTGTTAATTTGAGCAGGCTGCTAAAACATTAAACAATTACTGTTAGTTCAGCTGGAGCATGTGAGTGCTTGGTCTAGTTGTGTAATTGTCTTATTACCATTAACAGTATGATTGAAATTGTTATGTACAAACTTATATTTACTCTTAGGTGCTGAGCTTGCCTTTCCTATGTCTTGTGCTGTGAGCTACCAGTGTTCCAAATTCATTGTCACATGGAGTATGATGTTGAAAGGGGAGAAATTTCTGCTGTTTTGAGCTTGGATCTCTTTGGCTGCATTTTTATATGTCTTAGCTCTTGTAAGGAGTTGCACTCTTTTCTGTTGCTTACAGGGAGAGTTGTGGCTTGATTAGACTTGTTAGTCTGTCTCTGCAAGTTTTATATTCCTTGCGGGAGAGTAAGCACATTTTATTTAGCTTTATGCAACTGTGTAAGTTAAAACATGTTAAGTAACGGAAACAAAACAAGCTCAGAATTATACAGGAGGTTACAGACATGTGAAACTTGAATACCTTTGCTATTCCAGCTGGGTAATAATTCCCATCGTTGGGACATGGTGAAAGTTAGGCGGGATAAGTCCTGAAGTGCAGAACAGCAAATCAATAAAGCCTGAGACCTATTAGTAGTATTTGTAGCATGTAGTTGGCTGGCCACAGACTATTCAAGTAGAATTCTGTAGTTTAAATGCTCTTCTTATTGTTTTTGTGGAATTCAAGAGAACTTCCTGGTTTATGTGAGACACAGATCAGATATTTACACCTCTCAATTTGCCCAACTTAAGCAGAGTTGAAGGAATAAAACCTGACCCATAAGAAATCAAACCTTGTGGTTTGCGGCTATGTCATGTGGAAGGGCAAAAATCTCATTCACCATGCGGTAATGCACAATAAGCAGTATTTAATTGAACTGTTTGCCCTGTTTTGCTGTTATTTCTGTCCGGAGTTGAGAAACAAAACTGTTGAGTTAAGCTTGCTTTCACACATTACTTCATGTTGCTGTAATAATTTCAGCGATTGGGTCAAAGTTTCTTGGAGAGGATGCTGAAAAAAACTAAAAACAGGCTTTGTAATGGAAAGTGAAGCATTAGTTTGTATAAAGATGGAAGGATTGTTTTAAACTTGAGTACAGATTACTCCATCCGTAGACTAGGCCCAAAAGTCCTGTCTCACAGTGTGTAACAGCATACTTGACCTTCATTGAATAAGCTGTCCATGCAGTAGTAGAGGTGCTCAGTAAAACTTTGTCCAGTATCACGTTGTGGTAGGTAAGCTAATAGCTTTCTGGATCCATGTATAAAATGTACTTTTTTTGAGTTAAAATTGAGTTAATTTTGAGTCTTGTTTTGAAAGAGGAAATTATGCATGGGAACTCAAGACTCATCTTTTTTAGGAACAGACTTTGGTAAATAAATATCTTGCTGCCAAAAGATATTCTAGTTTCTGTAAAGTTGTGTTGCTTTATTGAAACTGACACTGAATTATTGTTACATAATTTGTTAACATGCTAGGAAAACTCTTAGTTTAAAAACATACTCAGCCAGTATCTGGAGCTGACTGGTTATGGTTCCAAAATTCAATGTTTCACATCTAAGGCAGTAAAATACATGAAGTAAGGCAGACTGTCTTCCAGCTGGTTTAAGACTCAACAGGCATTTACAATGCTTAGAGCTGAAGTGAGAAATAAAGGTGCTACCACAACATAAATGGCTGTAGGATTAAAGTAAGATGAGATAGCTTAGTGTAAAGGAACTAAAGCAGTGTAATTTTAAACAAACAGAAGATTGACTTTGCCAGCTACTTTCTCACATATTTATACAATAAATAGAAGACAGCAATGTTTAATCTTCTTTTTTTTTGACAGAACTAACAAGAAAGCCTTGGGAAAGAACAAATACAGTAAATGGAAGCAAGTCGCCTGTTATATCCAGGTACTCCTTTTCATACCAGCAGTTATCTAAAAAGATATGTTTGCTGTTCTTGCTCATGCTGCTAAAGAGCTTTTGCTGAAGTAACAAGAAAAGAATCATCTTACTAGTATTAAAGCAAGATTTATGGATTGAAGAATGCTACTGTGAAACTGCTTTTGGCAGTGTTAACTAAGTATGAAGTATTGCTTTTGAGGAATGCTGACAAGTGAAATTTTGGTAGTATAAAGTGAAAATCCAAAAGATTACTTAACAATTGCTGTGCTATCTTTGTCTACACAAATGTTTTAATTCTATTTCCTTACATTAAGTCTGAAATTTCCTGCAATGGAAACCAAGTTCAGTGCTATCATTTGTATGTTCAGTAGTAGAGCTACTGAATAGCTTTTCTCCTTCCTATTTCTGTGTGTATTATAGTCCAGTAACTTACAGTATCACTGAGCTTGAAGATTTTTGTGACGTCCACTCTGCTATATTTCTTTACAAGCCTTGACTTGATTTCTTCCAGCTATTCCTCAAGCTGGTGCATCCTGCATGCATTAACAGAGCTCTTTTATTTTCAAACACAAAAAGGTATGAAAGCATTGTGTGGAGGAGAAACTTACTACAGAAAAAAAAGAACTTGTGAAAGGAATCCTAGAGAGAGTATTTTGGATTTCAGATTTTTTGAGACATTGCTGATTTGACTCTTTGGATGTAGGTTCTGTGTATATACAATCGAAGGGAAAGCAGTGCAGTTAATAAATAGGGCAATTTTCCTTATCAGATTGCTTTGGGAGGTCAGAATATCTTTGTATCTTCATTTGGCCTGTCCTTACAGCTTTAGTTCCTATTAAACTATTGCATACAGCCTATTTCTCTGATGTTTTTTTCAGTTGGTTAAATGGAGAGGTTACTTAGTCTGTTTTAAAAGATTTTCTGACCTAGAAGAAATTACAGATATTTCAAGACTACTTCAGATACATTAAGAAAATCTCTCCTAGCTTTTGTCTTCATCACCCAATGGAAAATGTTGATAGAATGCAGACTGATCAGAGCCTTGGTTAATGTATTCTCCATAAGCACTTTAAATTAACAATTCCTCGTTGATCAAATATCGTTACTGCTTTCCAGCACTGTCACAACATACCAGTAGGTGCCATAGCATACATTTTAGAATTGCTGGTAAAGTCTTCTAGGCAGTGCTTAGTTTACTGTGCCAGGCTGACGACTCTTTCATGGAACTGAGGAAAGGAAAAGTTATTAATAGAAGTCTCTCTGAATTATCTTTGCATTGTTCTCAAAATTTTCTACGGTTTACATGCCGAACTTGAGAAACAGGTTGTTAAAAATTCCTGGAGTTAATTAGTGAAAGGATAGTGCTACTTAGAACTTGCCACAAAGGGAATATCTTTCACCTGCTCGCCTAGAAAACCTGTTTCTGAACTAAACAAAGAGAGTGTGGTCTTTGCTAGCGATTACTGGCAAGTAATCAGAGTTTTCTTTTGAGAGCTTCCAAACAAATAGACAATAAAGGATTTGTGATTCAGAATGAGTGTTCTAAATATTTTGAAATAGATACTATCCTACTTAAAAGTAGGGCTTTTTTTTCTAGCACAGATTTTTAAGACTTGAGCTATGTGTTTTTCACATTTCTTGGTACATGCAATATAAAACTCTTGGAACATAATGAGACTCCTTGTATTCAAGGTTTTAAAACTGAACATAAAGAAGTTCTATTATAGCTTGTTAAGGTAGTGTTTCTCCCCCCCTCGTAGACGGGAATCTCCATGGAAAAACCTCGTTTCTGAAAACAGGTTCTATGATTCATTAAACAGGTATCATCCTGTTGGGACTTGAGACTTTGTAATAACTGTTATTTACCCCAATTCAGGGTTGGACTTTTTGTACATCGACTGGTAATCACCACATTATTAGGTCCCTCTTCACATTTTGACTATCTGGTTGGACTCTCTTCTGGAATGATTAAAAGAGGCGATTTCACAGGCAAATTGAAGAACCAATTTAGAATTCATTGTAAATACTGGATTTCTGGTATTCGCCTATGAAGTTATAAATTTCTGTTGGGTGTGCCGTGATTTGGGCAACCTGCAATATTTTGAGAAGAATTTTTTCAGAATATTTATTAAGAATTAATTAAGAATTTTTTGAGAATATTTTTTCAGAAATGTTAGTTTAGATATATGGGAATAGCATTCAATTTTCCAGGTGACTTTTTATTTCTGCTTGCCACAGTGTAAGTAAAGGTAACAAATAGATTTTTACCTGAACTAAGCATATGAAAGAATAAAAGACTCATTAAATATAAAATGTTTCTTTCAGGGAACCATTCACCCATTTTAAAATATCATTGTATATTTCTAAGCTGTAAATTTCAGTTTCTGTGACAGTAATCATAAAATACTGACATTGAAAGCCTTTGGGTTTTAAAAGCTTCCCACAGTTAAACTTCTTATAAGAGTCCCTTTAAATTATTCAGTCATATTCCAGCTTTGTTTTTCATCAAAGCACTCAGTGTGGTGAATACTACATCTTTTGTATAAAAAGTTTGACTTCTAGCTACTTCTCTTGGGTGGTGTATTCTGCATGTTGGCACGGAATGTCATCTTTATCTTGCATGTTTGGTTTAAGATGCTTTAGGGACTATGAAGATTGCTTCACTGTCCTGCTAGGCGATGCTATGAAAAACCACATGGGAGAGCTCTGTAGCCATCTTAGGGCTAATGGTTGAGGTGTTCTATTTGCTAATATTCATAGCTAATGTCTGTCTTAATGGCAGCTACATTCACCATTCATCTCTCCTCTGAGCAAACAGAAGGAAGAGAAGGATAATTTGGGCAGGGGGAAGGCAGATTTGACTGACAAGTAATTACTAGTTTACAAATTATGGTCTTCCGTGTTTGGTTAATGAAGTCTTGCAAGACTTCTCAGAAAGAGAAAGTTGAATATGTTCCTACAACTGAGTGACAGTTTATAAAGGTGTTCACCTACTGAGCCTCTTACAGGTGCTTGTAGGAGAAGATAGCGTACAATTGGCAGATCTATCTTGTTATTGTGGAGATCTGGAGCAGAAGAGTAGTAGATCCTTGTTGTTTGATTGCATTTGGGAGGAAATGGATTGTTGGGGATTTTTTGTTATTGTGGTGGGTTTTTCAGTCTAGTTCAGTAAATGGTATAATATTGTTGTATATGGGAACAAAATGATAGCTAATCATCAGCAACAATATACCAAGAATCTGAAAAGCTCATGCAGTTCTATCTGGAGTCAGACAGTCTTTGAACTGTCAGATATTAACTGCAGAAGTAGTATTCTGAAAGTCAGATATGTGATGAAGCATCAACTGACAAAGTTCCCATCTTGAGAGATAAATATTTTTATTTTTTTTTTAGCAAGGAGTTCTTTCATAAGAAACTTAGCACTGTCTGCACCTAGAGATTTTTGTAAAAGATTTCAAACTGTGGTTTGTTTTCATAGCATTAGCACACACTGTACATCTTCTGGTGGCTACAGGGTGAAATCTCTTTTCCAGTTGTTTCTACTGTAAAGTTACATTGTCTTTCAATTTCTATCTTAATCACTGGATCATATATTTCATTTCAGTGTGTTTCAAGTCGAGCAATGTTAGCAGTGTCCGTTTTACAACTTAGGTTTATTCTGATTTGATCCCACCTGAGGAATAGAGCTGGTATAACAACATGAGTTGTTCCTGCATCTGTCTGCCTTACTGCAAAGTCCAGCAGTGGAGGAGCAGTTAAACGCTGCTTCTGCTGACTCTGTTTTGTTCGGTTGACTGTTGGCAGTTTTCTCCAGAGTTGGTGCCTCTAAACTGCACATAAGTAACTTCTCAGGGCACAGAAATAAGCATGAAATAAACAAAACTGCTGAGACATGTCTACCACTGACCTGGCTGCACTGGTGTTCTTACTTCTGTTTAACAGCATGAATGGATTCAGGTGTAGAAATGTGAAATGTCATGCCACCAGTACTAGTTGATAGCTATGAATTTGTATTAGAATAGTGCTAGGTCTTGCAACTTTTGTGTTCCATGTTGTTTCTCTTTCTTTTTCTTTTTTTTTTTTTTTTAAACACAGAGAATCAATAAGAGGTAAAAGTAGGAGAATACAAACCTTGGGGAAGTTTTTATAGTACCAAAATGACAATTTAGTGTTATTTAGTGTGATGGTTGCAAGTCGCACTTGAATTGTTCTTTTGGCTAGCAAATAAGAAAATCTGTTAGATTTTAATTCATCAACATGTTCTGTTAGTGTTAGAAAAAATAGTATAATTAGGCTATTTCATGAGGGATAAGCCACTGTATTGTAGCAAGTGACACCTGAAGGTATTGATTTTGTTTTAAAAATATAGAGGTTCACTTCTTTTTCTTGAGTGAGAGCACGGCTTGTCTGCTAGCTAAATTATTTGTTAATTAGGTATTTTTGAAGCAGTGGATATGCTGCTTGTGTCCATCATGTTTTGCTGTATTCTGGAAAAAAGTGTGTGAAAGAAAATAAACTGCAGAACCGTACCTTTCCTGCTGGTTTATCTTTTTGCTGTGCCTGATCAACTTCTACCTGAATAAATAAGGTTGCACAAGCAACAAGTCTTGAAAAAGGCAGTGTTTGATTTCCTCCTGTTTCCTCCTGAAGTTTCTGAATGAGAAACTGGGCTTAGACCAGGATTTTATTGTTCAGTGATGCTACATATATGGACAGTGGAATAGGTCCCAGTTTATTCTACTAACAACTTACCCTTCCTTAAACATAACATACTAAGGTAATTCTAATGTTGGGGAAGCATCTTGAAATTAACAGCCAGCAGTTCTTCTAAATGCTTATTTGTTTAACGTTTTGTAGACTAACAAAGACTGTTAGGCAGGATGTAAAAAGTAATTCAGGATGGCAGAACATTTTTCCTCCTCTTGTCCCACACCATCATCAACCCTGCTTTAGACAGCCCTTTCTGTATTCCTGCTGTTAGCCCCTAGCTTCCATCTCTGCTCCTAGCTGTTGCATATGCAAGGCCCTTTGAAAATGTAGTAAGTAATGAATTTGGGAGTTGCATGTTGGGCAAATGGAAGAGATCAGGAAAACAGAAATGACATGGTTGAGAATTCTTTTATTTTGGAATTCTGTGTTTTAACAATGCAAAATGATCTCTGTAAGCAAACTTAAAAAGTCTCAGAGTATTATGTAACCTAAACATTCCATAGACTAAAAAATGAGAACATCTCAAATATTACATGATTAAACCCACTGCTGTTAAAATATGTGTTCTCAGAATCTTTACAAAATGATTTATGAACTAATATAGGTTGAAAGGAAGATTTGGAAGCCAGGCACCTGCTCAGAGAAGGAATTAGATGAGGTTATTCAGTCTTGTTCTTGCAGGTGATGCCACAGCATGCTTCTGGTTTGCAGATCGGTGTGTAGTGGTTAGAGGAAATGCTTCTTGGAGAGAGCCTTATCTGAAATAACTAAGTAGTTTAGAAGGGGAAAGATATAAGTATTTGATAAGGGGATCGGTTTTTCACATACGTGATAAGAAATCAGAAACCACTGATAGTGAAATATGTCTGCTGTTGTTTTCAACTAATAATCTATTCCTACGGTAATCAATATTTACAGTGTGTGGAAGATGTTCTTAGTTGTTGATTCCCATTCTGTGTGGTATTTTGGGTCTAACTGATTTTTTTTTTCCACTTATTTTTTTCCATTCTGATTATTTAATATTGCTTTGATGAATATTAGTAAGCTTGATGAAGAATTATATATGCCTCAGTAATAAATGACCAGTAATTCACTGATTTGTTTTTGTACTGCAGACCAAAATCTACAACAGCGGGGCAACCCAGTGCCAATGGAGTACAGTCAGAAGGTCTAGATTATGACAGATTGAAGCAGGTATGACAGCATTTGGCAATCAATTTCATTATGTCAGATTCCAGTTTGTGGCTGGGGCTAACTTGATGCCTGTTCTTCTTTGAACATTTTGCTTCTGCATGTTTTTTTTTAAATTCTATTTAGCAATTATGCTAGTACAATATTCTATCTTAACTACTTCTCTTTCTTGGTGAGCACTACTGGAATCAATGTATAGGACTTCTACACATATATCTACTTTTCAATTTACCTGCAGTAAGAAGGCATGTTTCAGGTTTGGGAGATGAGCTTGTAAGATTGTGGAATATAAATTTCAGAATGGTTAAAGGCTTATAGAAGGCTGAAATTATTTTGGATTTCTCTTAGTAGAAAACTGAAGGTTAGAAAGCTAACCTGTTACTCTTATGTCGCAGGATATTTTAGATGAAATGAGGAAGGAGTTAACAAAATTAAAGGAAGAACTCATTGATGGTAAGTATCAGTTTGTTATCATTGAGTCTCAGAGCAAATAAAAATGCAGTCTTAATTTGTTTCTGGTTTCTGTTCTGAGAATTAAGTATTGGTAAATGTAAGTTTGCTATCTGTTGATATTCTTTCAATTGTGCCTGTGGTGGTTTCACTGTGAAAGTTAGTTGAACTCCACAGCACCACTCTCACTCCACCATCTCAAAGGAACAGGGAGAGGAAATATGGGAGGAAAAAAGGGCTCGCAGTTCCAGACAAGACAGTTTACTAAAAGAAGGGGAAAAAAGGCAAAGGCTGTGCAAAAGCAGAATGCATTGGCACCAAGTGTTCTGTGTATGTGCTGTATTTGAATACTTTGCAGTTATCATTAGTATCGTGTGATTGTAGATTGGCTATTTCTATCATCAAAATACTTCACAGCTGCTGGAATGTATATTTCAAAACTGATAATGTGCAGACAATGGCTGCGTTTCCACCTTCTGCACTTGTCATGCTCAGTCTTCAATGTAAGATTCAGACAAAGGAATGTTCACAATTTTTAATTTTTAGAAGAAGATACTAAGTGGTCTTCTGTAGTCATGGGAAATCATTTAGAAAGAATATTCCATACATCCATGAGTCGAGGAGTAAATAAAATTACGTCAATTGTAGTGGTTTTTTAACACATTAGTGTAGATTTCTTTTTCCTTGTGGAGTGCACTAAACCTGAGTATGAGAGAGGCTCTCATTAAGCTAAAACCAGATAAGCCCACACTCGTGCTTCTTGATATCTCCAGCAAGTCTACCATTGAGATGTGGGATGGAAAAATAAAATGTTAATGAAGACTGGAGAAGGGCACTGCCTAGCTGAGAGTTCACATCATGTGAAGCTCCATTACATATGATTATTCACTTGCTGTGACTGTTTTAGAAGGCTGAGCTTTCTTTAAGAAGCTAGTTATGTATGCTGACTTTCTTCCTTGTTTTAAAATGTATGATTTGTTCATTTCTCTTTCTCCGTAGCGATCAGGCAGGAACTGAGCAAGTCGAATACTGCATAGAAAGACTAGTACTAAGCCGATGTGACTCTTTAACTTGGTATAAAACTGACTACGTTTGTGAGCTGTTAGAAGAAAATGGAAACAGACACTTGGAAGGAGGGAGAAACACCATATTCTGAAAAGCTTCAGACGCATCACTCTGGTGATATGCTATTTCCCTCCTGGTTTGCAGCTTTTTTCTGACCTTTACAGCAGGGTGGAAAAGAGTCTTAAGGTTACTGTAATGATTGTGCAGAAATTCCTACACCTTTCAGACAAGATCACAGTGCTTTGAAGTATACTCATGTCAAAATAAAATTGCACATGTTTCAGAATTTGTTGTTAAAGAAAAAAAAAACAACAGGGAAAAGCTGGGGAAGGCTTTTCAGAGAGGTTTTCTTTATTAATGAAGGATTTAGCAAGTTATACTGTTGTACTTCAAATGTATCTCAGGTTTGTCTTCCTATCATATCTGATGTTTTCATGAATAATTAAAAAGATCAGATGTGTGTAAGTTCAGTTCACAAATATGGAACAATTAGAAATATGTACTTTTAAAGGGCAATATTTGTAAGTGAATGACCTAGACAGTGTTCACTTGTGAAGATTTTGGAATTTTATGATAGGAAGCCTCTCTAGTTAGCCTTCATGCAATTTTATAGGAAAAAAAGAAAAAGCAATTGCAGTCCAGAGTTTAAAGATGTAGATGCCTTCCTACATTGTTACAATGCTTTACCAAATCTAAGACTTCTACATAAAGCAAATCAGCAGTCAAATGTAAATCATTAGTATGTTGTAGATTTACAGTAGATTTTTGGGCTTTTTTTAGATTTATGCATGTGGACATTTTTGTAATGTAACACAACACAGCTTTTTAATTAAAAAAAAAAAAATTGCATGTCACAGATATTAAGTAGCCTTTTCATTTTTAAGGCTTAATTTATGCCCAGAAAAATGTGGGATGAGGGAGGGGGAAGGTGACACATTTTTTATTACTTTCTACACTTTTTCTTCATCTTACATGCATGTGTAATAATGAGGAAAATGTGACTTTATCACTAACCATGTTAATGGAACCAGGTACTTAGTCCTTTTTTGTATCTTTTTTTTTCCAGTTTTGTATTTGAAATTCAGTAACACTTCCATAATGGTTCTGAAACTCCCATGAGAATCTAACTCATTTTTTGATGAGAGAACAAACATTTAAACATCTAAATTACTGAGGATGCACCTGTACAAGTGTGTGATTCTTTACCTTTTTACCATGACTCTCTGCTTCACTGTTTTCTGAGACTCCTTTTCTGATTGGTTAATGAAACAAGACAGCAGTTAGTTACATTAGAAATGTGGAGCATCAGATCACAGTAGATCTCCCCTTCTAATTTATCTGCCACCTTCCTTCCAAAAGAAAAAAAGAAGGGAAAAGAAAAACCCTACCAAAAGCACCACCAACAAAAACAGCTGCTCCACACAATCCAAACTGAAAGACAGCAGTGCTGTACCATTGGTTTCAGTCAGTAATTTGAGAATCATTTCCAGGGAGGATGCCGCCCTTCTGTTTCCCCAGGTTTTCAGGTTGTTTTTTTTTTGACTCTGTGCACTTTGGTGGCATAGAATTCCTGTGACTTGGACCTGTAGTGTTTTGGAAGAATAACGCGGATCGAAATCTTCCCCTTTCCTTTGCACTGTCAGTTTTTCTGAGCCGTAACAGTGCCATGTTTGCTTTGTGATCTGTGCTAATCTGAAACAAAAGTTTACTTGCGACTTTTGGAGAGAATAATGTTTCAGCATAAAAGTATGCGCAGCTCCATCCCATGGGCAAATGCTTTTGATGACATACTGTCTTAAGTGCTGAACACCAAAGCAAAACAGCACTTACTGGTTTAGAAAAGCTTAAGTTGGATTTTTTTTTCTCCAAACATTTCTTCTTTTCAAATCCTGAGAGAAGACTACAGTGGAAATATTGCCTAATTCAATTCATGAAACCATTTTTTAAAAGAAGAAAAAACTGTTTTTCTGCATGCATTTCTTGGAGGCGTTAAAAAAAACAAACCCGTAGTAACCTTGTAAAGTACTGTTTTTCTCAAAATAAGAGGAGGCATTTTCATCTTTGTTATTGTAACTTTGTTTTACACGGACATTTTCAGCATTAGGGAAGTTTACCCTTGTCAGAAATCATGTTGGGTTTGTTTTTAGGAGAGTTGAGGAGTAGCTTAGTGGGATAGTGTGAATGGATATAAGTGGTCCAAAATTAAACGAGAAGCGACTAGGTTGTGCAAGGAACTGGCTTATGCACTAAACGTTTTGTGCCTTGGTCTAAAATTAACATGATTTCTGTTCAAAAGAAAAGGAACAGATGTCTTCTTTCGTGCTGCTTCTACATACATACTTTCTATGATCCCAAGTTGCTGAATTGGTTCTTTCCAAAAAATCTGATTGAATTAAAGATTACTGTAAACATTTCCTGTCATACTGACAGTTGCACCATTTCCAGAGATTTCAGTATTGAAAATGAGCTACAGAAGCTAAGGTTATTTTGCCTACTGGTAACTAAGTTCTTTGATAACCATATTGTGGTGGTTCTGTGCTTTTGTATAATGGATGTCTTAAACTGAGGACAGTTTAGGGGATCCTTTCTGATTCCAGGAAAGCGTTGCTTTCCTCAACACTGTGATCTAATCTGTGATAAACCTGTACTATATACAAGTGGCTAACAAGTCAACCACAAACAAACTGAATGTAAAAATCTTAGTGCTGGTGCTGAAATCTCTTCAGACAGTCATAATTTCCAGTTCATTGTTTTAAAAAGTTATCAAGCATCAAGTGTCAATCGAAAACTGAAGACGATCACTAATGAATGTTGAATTTTCATGCATTTAGGTTTACCTTCTTTTTAGTTTCTCAGTTCATTCTCTGCTATTTTTACCATATTGTGTCATTTTAAATTTCTTACATGCTAACGTTTTGTTTGAGCGAATGAAATAAAATTGCAATATATACACGTTGCCACATTTCTTTATGGAACTTCATGGAAGAATCTCCTATGTTCAATACTAAAATTCTCAAACACTTTACTGACTGCTGATTCCATAATCCTTGGTTTCACCACTCATTTTTGCCTTTCCTTTGGAAGATTTGATAAAGAAAATGAAATACCTTACATGGAGTGTGTAACTGCAGGGACTGTAATGTTCATGAATGATAATGTACATAAATTCCAATTCATTTTCCATGGGATTTTACTTTTGTTCTAACATGGCACAGTTTGGTCTCCGTATCCGCAGAGAATTTGGAGGGAAGGGAAGGGGAAGGCTGATGATAATTTCTGGAGTGTTAACACATTTGTTTTGGTGGTTATATTCATCATTCAGTCCTTCAGCTTGGTTTTAGGTCATCCTCATTCACCAGGAGTTGGAGTCAAAACGCAGTTTCAATGCAGTACTGGTAAAACAAGTCCCATGAAGAGGTTTTGGTTGCAGCGAGGTACAAGATATTTTATAAATAAATAGGGTAATTCAACTTTGGCAAACATTGACACCAGCGCCATATTTGACACCAACTGTAACAGCTGTTAAAGGGTTGAGCTGTTTTTTGTTTGTGGTTTTTTCTTTGTTTCAGTAAAATTGTCACTGGATGATAAAGCAGTCTGCTAGAACCAGGGTGGCCTTTCAGCAACACTCATACAATTCCTCATTTAAATTTCTGAATGCTATTGTGAAATCCATCCATCAGTGTCTAGAGATGTATGATGTTTGTTCTTTAATGTTGCATACTGTAGAAATAGAGAAAGTGGTCTGAATCAAACTGATGATTATGACATTTTATACTGCTGATCGTGATACTATAACATTTTTAGAATTCTTGCCAGGATATCTCAATAACAATCATATAAAGCTTGCAGAATGAGAAGATGCCCTCTTTTTCTAGTAGGTGGACATAACTAAGCTGTTGGGGAGCAAGGAAAAAGCTTCCAAAGCTATCCCTGTACACAGGCTTAACGGTTCTATATTTTCCTGACCTCATAAGTTCTTACTGTTGGGTTTTTGGTAAAGAGCAGATGAAAAAGAAAAGTTATTTCAGTGGAAGTGGGGCCAGAGCATATTACTTCAGTTAACATTCACTGAAATTGTTTAAGAACTGTCTTTGGAATATGGAGACACTGAGGATTAAATGATCTAAATCACATGCTATTTAAGAAGGTCTTAATGGAGGGGGGAGAAGTCTGACTAGCACGTGTATTACTGCTTTTACACATTTGAAAGAGCGTTTCTTTTGTCAGACATTCATATGGGCTGATTTCAACAATAACTATTTACTTCAGTTTTGGGGGATGGTCACCTAAGAATGTTGAAATTTATATATGACTGGCAATATGTTGAAGTTGATTTATAATCTTAAAAAAAAAAAAAAAAAAGTTAGTATAGCTTGTTGCAATTGTCTGAGATAGGAAATAGAGCTTAGTTCCTAAATTCTTTGAAAGCTCAGCAAAAGTATAGGCCCAGGAGTAGTGCCCGCTTGTTAGCTGGTAATCAGCACCTTCAGGTAGTAGGTCGGCACAGTGATGTCAGAAATCAAGGAGCTTTGTGGAATTGCCTCCATTTTGTAAGTGGATCCCAGGTGTTACATAAATGCCTTTTCTAACTTTTAGAAGCTTTGGTGTCCCAAATTTTACTCAATGAGTATTTTTTTTTACCTTCTGTCCTACCTTGGTAAACTCCGAAGTAGGAAAGATGACGAGTGATTACTACAGTAATTGTTCAGCTACAGGGACCATCTCCTCCCTTCCCAGCTGTATTAGAGCTGTTCCTGGTCAGACATTTTCACTTACCGTTGTGACAGCATTTCTGTTCTGCATTTGCTTAAGCACAGTAGAGTTGGAAGTGATCTCCCATGATCATCCCATGCTTAGATTCTTAAGTGTATTTCTTTTTATCAGTATCGTGTGCCTGCTGGAGCCACTTGAGTCCTGACTTTGGACAGCTTTCAACTCAGCAGTAAAGTTATTGTTGCCAATTATGCCACAAACTGAGGTGACTCGCCAGGAAAAGAAGGAGAGCAGATGACTTATATATTCATGACTGAGCCTCTTACCCTCGGTTAGGGATAAGTATTCCAAACCTCTGTCTCAAAGGTAGGAAGATTTACATCACCTTTGTAAAGGATTGAGTTGTATTGTTAATGGATGATTGAGGGCCTTCTTTTGGGAAGACCTTTTTGAGAGGAGACTGCTTTCCTCACTTTGCTAGGATGATGGGTCTGTAGATGGTCTATGGCAGTTTGTCACTGCCACAAAGCTTTGAGGCTGCAGCAGATGAGAAACTTGAGAACTTTGTCTCTGCCAGGGTATGGTGCTCATATCTGAGGGAAAAAAATGGCCAATAATGTGCCTTACAATCTCTACTGAATAATCTTTGTGTTTCTAATGGAAAAAGCTCTCCACTGCTCTCAGTCCTGCAGGCTGATAACATGCTAAAAGGTCAGGAATGGAGAGGGGCTCATGAGGATTCCGGTCCCGATAGAGTTGCTCCATCATGGGATTTCACAGGGTAAGTGAAAAATCTTTCCCTTCGTATGGTGACAGGTGACAGAGGAGGAGTCCTTACTAATTGCACAGTGCTGGAAAGTCATTGGCAGTCTTCAAGGGCTGTTGTCACCTGCACTGACTTTATCAGGAGGTCTTCAAGAATTGAAAGTGACAAATGAGAGAAGGACATCTTCCAGTTCATTCTGCCCTTTGGTAATGGAATGTTTGCTTGCTAAGGCTTTCAGGCTACGTGCAAACCATCACCGTGCATTCAGTTCTTTAATGATGGATCTGCTCTGTGAGTCTGAAGCTATATGTGTGAAGTCAGGCTCCTGACAGTTTGTGTTTGAGCTGGTTGTGGGGAGGGGGAAAAGGACTGCATAGGTTTGTTTTTGAGAAGGCTTAAACATCTTTTTTTTTAATTATTATTAATTTTAAATTTTGGATCATCTGAGATGAAACTCCATCTTTTTGTTACGCTGTTTACCATTAGTTGCATGGAAGTGTCTGTCTCAGTTACAGAAGGTGAAGCAGATGCCATTTCACAAGTTCCTCCTCTTGAAACTATCTTTTTTAAAATAGGAATTAGTCACAAAGTGGAAGTTAATGCTGTTGAACGACTTGAGTGTATACAAAGGGATGATCACAGCACCCAGTAGCAGCTGGGGGGGAGGACAGTCCTGACAGACACAAGGAATTAAATGGCGGGACAAGTGCAGTGCCTGATAAAGACTGTGTAGCTGGAAGGGGATTGTAGTTAGCGTAGGGTGCACGGCCATCGTCTGATTATCAGATGTTCTTATTCCAGCAGTAAAAAAGAAATACTCATTGCCTTTTTCCTTTTTTTAATCTTTATTTTTAATCTACTTTGGTTGTGTTGCTTCTTGTCCACACTGTGGTGTGACAGTGTCATATCTTCGCAAGATCACATTCCTACACAGATCTCAAACTGCACAAGGGGTGAACGTACAGATTGCATACCAGTGACTGACAACTTTCAGGTTCTCTTTGTGTAACAATAAAGCATTCTTCAGACAAGACTTTTGTACAAAATAATTTGCAGGTGGAAAACATCCAGACTCTGTAACTTCTGTTGTATCTTGACAGTGCTGCTGCATTATTTTGTGATAGAACCAGCCCCTGAGATACAGGTGTTCACTTTGTTTTTACATAGTCCGTTAGTCTACATTAGTTTTCAAATGTATTTTCAGCTGTTGTTTCACTTGTGTAAATGTTCATGAGTTACTAATTGTAATTGTAGTAGAATCAGGAAGATGCTCTGTGCTTCCATTCAAGGACAAATGGTTGTACTCAGGTTGAGTGAAACAACTGGGTTTGCTGAGCGTCTGCAGTTAGCTCTGCAGGGTTACTGGGAAGAAAAATACAGGAGCTACTTGGTCATAGAATCATTCATGTTGGAAAAGACCTTTAAGATCATCATGTCCAGCCCCAACCCATCCCACTGTGCCCACTGACCACATCCCTCAGTGCCACGTCTCCATGGTTCTTAAACACCTCCAGGGACAGTGACTCCACCACTTCCGTGGGCAGCCTGTGCCACTGCATCACAGTTGTCATAACCAAGTGCCTCTGCAAGTAACCTGAAGGTGCAGATCTGTGCATGTGAGTGAGGGATGGCATTGAGTGGTGTGCCTTCAGGGAAAGGAGATTTGAAGAGTAAATCAGAAGCACAGAGAAGTGGTAGAAAAACTTGAGGACTTCAAGTTTCTGTCAGTCACAAATGCGGTGTTTTGAAAAGGAAGAGAACTTCAGAAGGCTGTGAACATGGCGGTGTGCTTAGTATGTTCAAAATAATGATTGTGGAGTGGAGTGTCTGGGTTTGGTGAGTAACCATGCATTGTTAAGGAAAGCAGAGAAGGATGATGCTTAGCATACAGAGGAGAGGAGGAGAAATGAAAAAGGAGGGAAAGTCAGAAGTGGAGTATTGCCTGTGGTAGAGCTAATTCCCTGTTAAGACTTTCTAGGCCTTCTCAAGCAAGGAATGAATACCTCATAAAACACTCAGTTTCTTGCTGTATGACTTTGCACTTATGCTTTTACTTTTCATTACCATAGAAATAGAAGGTGAAACGTATAATTTGAATCGTGTGTTTCCAATATTTGACTAATGTAATGGGGAAGGAGTTCAGTTGTGAAGCCAAGGTGCAGAGCCTTTCAGCATTACAGCTGAACATGGGGCAGACGGACTCCAAATAGTTCATCTGTGCATACCTGACCACAATTAGGGCCTGCTCCTGCAGTGAAGGTCTGGGTTTTGCAGTGTGTAAGAGATTTGTTGGCTATGTTTTGTGTGAGCTGAAGGTCAGCTTCATTTGCCGTGAAGTCTTTGGTCCTCTGGAAGGAAAGAAGTGACATCAGTCTGCAGCTTTTAGAGTAAAAGGATCATCACGTATTTATCCTCTGTGTTGTCATAAGTGCAGTAATTTCATGCTTTCAGTGGACCCAAATTGCAGAAGTTTCTCTGTATGCTCTCAGCTATGATAAAATACTGTGCGTGTTCAAGCCCTGAGTCTTAGCTTCTCTGAAGTAGATATACATTGTGTTACACAGTTTGGTTTTAAGTCTCCATGTTTCCAGACATCAGATGTAATTCTGTCTTTGAATATTAGTGGTCCTGTATTTTTACAGCCTAGTAAATGCTGTCCATCTTTTTAATGCATCTATAAAAAAAGAATTGCAAGCAAT